TTTTAACACTATTACCAACCAATTACCGAAAAAAATGTAAACTTCCATTGCCTCAGCCATCAGCAATATTCACAATATTATTCAAATGTTACAAATATCTTGCACTTTCTATAAGCCCACATCAGCAATAACAAATATACAATCACATAATACAACCATACCACAGCTCAATATTATTAATCCCTTTCCTTTACTTTACACTTTATTAAATTTCCAAAACAATCCACTTCCTTAAATTCGCAATTACATCAAAAAAATAAACAAAACAATTCAGCTAATTGATATAGTTCATTCAAATAGAACAAAAACCATTTTCAAACCAGATTTTTCACTTCTTCTACAAACTCTAACATTCCTCAAAAAATTACCACTTCCAACTACACAAACACAATCCAAACTTTATAACTTTCATCTGAAAATTCTCTCTAATACACTTCCAACCAAAACCCATTTACATTCCACCCTTCCACACTTATATACTAATGATCTTTGCCTATGCTGTAATATGTCTCCTGAAATAACACACCATATCTGGCTTTGCAAGGAAAGTCATCCAGCAATAACTCAAATTCTTAATAATACTATAGTCCAGGCCACACTTACCTTCAGGAAAAATAAAAACTTTGATCCAAAAATCTTTCAACAACTTGTCAATTCTCCTCTCTCCTACATAAATCTAGCTCTTGGACTTTCAAACATCAATTCCTGTTTCAAAAATCTCAAACCATCTACCACAGACTTAAAAATATTTAGTGAACTACAAAATGATCTTCTCAATACAATTTACCAGGAAATTTGAATTTCCAGAAATAAAAACATGATTGAAGAGGAAGAAATATATAACATCTTCTGCTCTGACAAACTAAGGAAAAACAACCCAACACACTCTACAAACACAAAATCCAAAAGAAAAAACTCTTTAGCAAACAATTTCTCCAATTCTAACCCAAACAAACTTATTAATATAGTTATTAAAACATATTTGGAAAATCTATCCATGCCCTTCTTGGATAGAATAAATTATTAAGGAGGCATTAGCCCTTCAAACATAGATATTTCCTTTTGTTTTCCTTTTCATAAAAGGTTTTTTCACAAAATATATCTATATAGTAATAGGCTGACATGTATAGCAATGTATCTCAAAATCTAAACATTAATTATATAATGAATAATTCTTACTCAATTAATAAAGATCATGAGAAATGCCTCACTTAACATTAAAAAAAAATTTTTATGAAATTTGAAGTGAATTTACATACAGATTATTTATTATTTATTAGTTCAGTGGATGAACCATGGAGATCTGTATTACTCTCCTCTCCTCACTGATCAAATAAATAAATAATCTGATGATTCTTCTCCAATAATATATAATATAAAAGTTTTGCAAGAGAGGATACAATCAACCCTTAGGTCTGCTTTAAAAAGCAATAATTGCCCCTATTCTTCAAACTTTTATTTGTATATATTATATTATAAAATATAATTTCTAATTATATACAGTATATAAACTTACTTCTTTATAAAAAAAAATGAATTTCAAAAAAAATGAAAATCAAAAAAGTGGCTTAATTATATATAGTATTATGAAAAAAAAAATGACTTATTACATAATGATCTACCATGTTGCCATGTGATCTATTATTATTGATAACATTTTATTTTATTTACAGTATTTTAGGTTTCAATCAATGAATCTTGTTGATATACAGTCATCATGTAAAGTAATAATCAATTTTTATATAATTAATATAAAAAAAATTCTCAAAATATCTATAGATTTTCAAATGGTGCCACGAATTCAGAGCATCATAGCTCGAAATTCAAGTTGTAAAGCCTTTTGTAGTTATAAGTAACTATTTGCGAAAAGACTAGAAAAACATTATTTGTTAAGGGCTCAAAAGTGATTGTTTTAGTAACATTTTGAGTAATTTCACTTTTTAACTTATAGATAAAAAAAAAATAACATGGCAATCCACCATGTTGCCATGTGATTATTATTATTGATGACATTTTATTTTTATTTACATTATTTTAAGTTTCAATCAATGAATATTGTTAATATACAGTCATCATGTAAAGTAATGACCAATTTTTATATAATTAATATAAAAAGAATTCTTAAAATACCTATAGATTTTCAAATGGCGCCACGAATTCAGATTATCATAGCTCGAAATTCAAGTTGTAAAGTCTTTTTGTAGTTATAAGTAACTATTTGAGGAAAGACTAGAAAAACATTATTTATTAAGAGCTCAAAAGTGATTGTTATAGTAATATTTTGAGTAATTTCACTTTTTAACTTATAGATATAAAAAAAAAACTTATTACATGACAACATGATGGATCGCCATGTGATCTATTATTATTGATAACATTTATTTTTATTTACAATATTTTAGGTTTCAATCAATGAATCTTGTTGATAAAAATTACATATACAGTCATCATGTAAAAGTCATGACCAATTTTTATATGATTGATATAAAAAGAATTCTTAAAATATCTATAGATTTTCAAATGAAATCACAAATTTGGAGCATTATAGTTCAAAATTCAAGTTGTAAAGCCTTTTTGTGATTATAAGTAACTATTTGTGGAAAGACTAGAAAAATATTATTTATTAAGGACTAAAAAGTGATTATTATAGTAATATTTTGAGTAATTTCACTTATTAACTTATAGATAAAAAAAAATAACTTATCACATGGCAACCTATCATGTCACCATGTGATCTATTATTAATGATAACATTTTATTTTTATTTACAGTATTTTATGTTTCAATCAATGAATCTTGTTGATAAAAATTATATATACAGTCATCATGTAAAGTAATGACCAATTTTTATATGATTAATATAAAAAGAATGATTTTCATATGGCATCATTAATTCAGAGTATTATAGCTTGAAATTCAAGTTGTAAAGCCTTTTTGTAGTTATAAGTAACTATTTGTGAAAAGACTAGAAAAACATTATTGTTAAGGGTTCAATAGGGATTGTTATAGTAATATTTTGAGTAATTTCACTTCTTGACTTACAGATAAGAATTTTCTTTGATAATAATTCCAAGTATAAAAAAAGAATTCTTTAGTTATTTCTTGTGTAAAATAAATGAACACATATAAATAATTATAGTAGAGCAATCAACAATTGATCAAAACATTATAAAAAGGCTGTATTTTTCCTCAATCTTGAAAAGAAAATAATTAGATCATAGTGTTAATGATATACAATATATAAAATAGTATTAATTGAAACTTTATACAATACTTTAATTGATATTAATATTTTTGGTACTTCGGTTCGATATCGGTACTTTAAAGTATTGTATCAAAAATTTTCAGTAATTATTGATACCGATATCGAAAAAAAATTTCGGTATCAGTTTTACAAAATACTATATCAAATGGTACCGATCGGAACTCTACCCTTTCCCAGAGATATAATGTCCCAGATATTCTACTCATTTCTAAAACAATTCATACTTTGACAGTTTGGCATACATATAATGTTCCCTCAAAATATTTAACACTCAGTAGACATGTTGATGATATTTCTCCTTGGTTTTGCTATAGATAAGAAAAATGTCATTCAAGTATACAATTACAAATTGATCCAAAAATTTCCTGAAGATGTCATTCATCAGTATCATAAAGGTAGCAGGAGCATTGGTGAGCTCAAATAGCATAATCAAGAACTCATAATACCCATAGCATGTCCTGAAAGCTGTTTTGTGTACATTCTTCTTCTTGATTCTTATTTGATGATATCCAGAGTAAAGATCAATTTTAGTGAAGTAATGAGCCCCAACAAGATGATCCATCAACTTCTCAATTCTTGATAAAGGATACCTATTTTTGATAATAATTTTGTTAAGTGCATGGTAGTTCACACAAAGTCACAATGTTCTATCCTTTTTTTGTACAAAAAGTACAGGTGCTCCAAATGGTAAAACACTTGAATGAATGTGTCTTTTTTGCAAAAGTTCCTCAAGTTGTTGCTTCAGTTCATTGGTTTCCTTATGGATAATTGATAGATAGGACAAGACGGTGGTTTAGTTCCTGATACAAGTTCAATAGCATGATCAATTTTTTTTGGGGGTGGCAGTTCCTTCAGCAAGTCAGTCGGAAAGACATTAGCAAATTCCTTTAATAATTTTTGGACAGCAGGTGGATATAATGGTTGGTTACTTTTCTCAGTGTTGGCAACACAAACAATAAATAATGTAGCAGTCATAGTCAGACATTCATATAATTGGCTGGTATAAATCAATTGCCTGGATAACTTATTTATATAGTTTAAAGTATTTTTCAAGAATGTAATGTTTCACTAACAAAAAATCGTTGTAAAAGTTATTTCTTGCTTCGAAAGAATGTCTTTATTCAGTGTACAAAATAATCAAAAAATAATCAAAAATCTTAGAATACTTTACTTAGAAGTGAAAATATCATCTACTAATACTATTAAATCTTGTGCTATTACTATTTGTCAAGAAAAATTGACTATTTGGAGAAAAGTAATTGAAAATGTTTTTTCCAAAGGTCAAGCTAATAATACATTGCCAAGCTATATTCGTGTGGATAATGTGATCTGTATGAACTGTTATAATGGGATTGTAATTAACAGTTCAATTGAATTCCAACGGCATGCTCAAGAATAACATAGGTTTGAGGAAATTAGTGAAGCTAATAAAGCTAATAATACTAATGATTTTCTTTCTTTTTCTCAAGCTGTAAAAGTCTTAACAAATATTTTGTATACCCGCGAAAATCGAGAAAAAAAACCAACGATATATTCTTTTGATAAATTCCGGAAGATTATGGAAGGTGAGGATATAAGATTAAAATTTTTCTTTAATGAATTGTATTTTTCATCTAGCCCGTCCACAAAAAATAAGAATTCACAGTTAAGGGTAAAAAAACAGCTTTTATTTATATGTTTCTTTCTTTGTGAAATTCAAAACAAGTTTGTAAATAATGCAAAAAGGGATTTAACTATGTATTTAGATTCTACAGGTGTTTATAACACTACTTTAGATATATTTTCTGATTTAGGTATAACCATTACGTCTCATTCAATCACACGATATAAGACCGATGCATCTAAAGAACATTATGGGCTTGTTGATACTACATTTACTCAATATATAGAAAATGCAATAGTATTAAATATCGATGACTATCATAATATTCATACGGAACAGGTACCAAACACCACTACGACCTCTGATGCTGCACATCTTGCAACAATTTTAATGAATCCAATTACTACACAAAGAGCTATCCCACAACTAAATATACACAATTTCAAATTGGTTGATACCGAATCTATTAAAATAAATTTAGAAAATAGATTTATGGAGTTATATAGTCTTTCACATAATCAATGCTAGGGATTTCATGCAATTGATGACAATACAAGATTAGAAAAACTAACTGTGCATAGTTATGATATCTGGTTACAAGAAAAATGTCATACCCGTTCTATGAAAGATGTCATTCTTATTGATCTCCAGAAAAATACGCTTCATTCTTTGGATGAATATGTTCAAGCCATTAATGCTATCATAAACATTCCATCCATGCAGCAGTATATCAAAAAAGGAAATATGATTCCTATTGTAGCAGATTGGCCTGGACAAATTTATATCAGAACGGCAATTTCACATTATTTGCTTAATCATAATTTATCGAATATTACTAATTCTATTTTATCTTTTCTTCCTATTATAGGTCCTCTTCATATTTCATTAAATAGTCGAGAATTAATATTTCTTAAATATCAGCCTTTCTTCTCGTTTATGTATAGATATATTTTTGGAGAATGAAAAATTCTTGCAGAAAACCTAAGCCATGGCGCATCAATCTAATCTTGGAGATCTCTTGCAGTACATGGCAGGAAATTTCAAAAATCATTAAAGAAAAATTTGGATTCTGTAAAGATGCTGAATATTTCACACTTAAGGATCTTCTCGATAATATGATTCCTCTTGTTTTGGATATTTATGCCATATTTTTTAGATCTGGAGATTTTAACACTTATTTTGAATCTTGCTTTCATGTTTGGACAATATTTCTTAGGTTCAATCGCAAAAACTACACAAAAGCCCCACTAATGTTTTTCTCTGACATTTTCTATTGGGAATTGATTAATCATCTGATCCTAGAGTCCATTAAAGTTGAACTTTCCAAATTCTCTGATTCAACCGTTGAAATATTTTATAGTTTCTTGCACAGGAGTACATAAGAACATGACGATGCAGAGCAGATTATTAAATATGGTTATTATTTCAATAAACTGCATCTTGATTGCAATGGATTCAGAGAAAATTTTGCCCACATATTTATGTGGGCATCATATGAATATTCTGCACGAGATATTACTAATTTAACCAAAAAAAGTTCTTGTTTTCTTCTATAATCTTTTTTAAAAATTTATACATGTGTATTTCATCATCAATCACCATTAACAGTTTCACAATTTATTATAGAGTCATCCAAGAAAAAAGGCAAAGAAAAATTCGACGGTACCATTTCATTAAATGCGATGGGAATGCCGGAAGCAAAATTATATCACCTTTCTTTGGGTTTTAATATCTCACATATGCTAGGCCTGTTTCGATATTGCGATTCATCTAACTGCCTTATATTTTCTTCTTTTAATATGAATTCAATTAGAATTCTGGCCTGCGGATATACTTATCATGAATCATGTTATATTAATAATGGATTCAAATGTTTGTATTGTCTTTCATTCCTACGAGATAGTGTCGATGAACATGTTCATTCATTACTTGAAAGTTTTTGAAATCCCAAAAAAAAAACAAAAAAAAAAAGGAAAATGATAATGTTTCTCATAACAACAATGAAGAAAATGGATCAGTTGAATATGCACCATTTGCATTAGAAAAGACAATACGAAAATTTCAGATGCAATAAACAATACTATTCTTTTCATAATTAATAAAATTAAATAATCCTTCGCGAATTTATTTATTTGTATAATTTTTCATCATGGTTATATCAAGTTTGCATCGATATAGATAAGTAAATAAAAAATAGCGTTTAACTAGTATTTAGCATTTACATTACAATTAATTGTTTAAGCTCACTAATTATAAAGTACAAAAGATAAAAAAATATATATTTAGAATATGTATACTACGTAAAGCGTTAGGCATTCGATAATTAAAGAATTGTAATAAAAGCTGCTCCTTGATTAATAAAATACCTTCCCTAAATAAAAACCATTATCAATGGTGGGCGCCAGAGTCTATTTGAGTTTGGAGAGATTTGGGACACGTCGCACTAGGATAATAGAAGTATATTAGAAAAACAGTCAGTATCTTGTAAGAATTGTAATAAAAGCCTCTTCTTAATTAATAAAATACTTTTCTTAAAGAAAATAACATCGCCTCAAAGTAGGATCCAGTAAGGCCAAAAGAGAAATTTGTGGCATGTATCAAGGACCGGCCTGGTTTAAGAAGGAAGTGTTGTTAATAAAGGAATCACCGATCAAATAGTAACGCGCCTCAAGCAAAAAGACTTTGCACTTATCATTACACAAGTGCCGTGCTGGCTTTTCCGCCTACAAAACACGCACTGCCCTTATTTTTTTGTTTAGTTACCTACTCCTGCAACACACATTTAGTCGTTTCCGCCCATAAACACATATGTCTTTTCGGTAAACACATTAGTAGGATTCAGCTTCATATATGAAATGTATTTTGCATGTACAAGGAATACCTAAGCTTCTTTGATTCTAGTCAACAATTTCATATTTTCTTGAGCTGATAAACATGCGACTACTGTCTGATGGAATTCACTAGTGTTTCGAGATTTTCTATTACTAGCTCCAGAAAGGAAGAGATAAATTGGAAACAACATTTTGTCAAATTTAAGTTGGTTTCTTATTTTATAAAATACGTAAGAATTTTAATATAAATTAATCAATTGTAATTCAGCGATTTTATTGGCCGATTACCATGCATGACCATGCATGGATCTACGTAAATTGGCCAATCACACGAATGTCTGCCCATGAGTGTAGCAGTATTATGTATCCTAGCAAGTTGTTAATACAAGATGAAGATAGAGTTACAGCCCAGATGTTATGGAATAGTGGAGTCAGCTTTTACAACGATGATTTTTGGTTCATATTGAAAGGTAAGCTTGTTGCTCCTCCAATCAATGGATGGATTGGCATAATACAATCAAGGCTTTCCCAAAATGGCATCATATCATTGCAGTTTAATAACTTGAACAGACAATTCTGTTGTGTGATAGGTTCCCATCCTCAGATTCTTGATGGCGGCAATCTTGTTTGTTTCCTGTTTGCACTCATCTGCAAGTTCAATAGTGACAAGTTTATTCTTCTGGATAGTAAGGCGGTGGCATTTGACAAATCCCTCATCCATGAAGTTTCTGGAAGCTCCAGAGTCAAATGGGATCCAAGCAGGCTTTCCATTAATTTTTTCATTGACACGAAGTAGTTGTTCCTTGTTACCCTCAGTGTTTGTCAATTTCAAGTTGTTGTTATAATCTGGTAGCAACTGTGTAGATGTATGCATATTAGTTCCTTCAATATTGTTAATCTTTCCTTTTCCCTTGTTAGGACATTCCCTTTTCCAATATCTAGACTTTCCACAATAGTGGCAGTTTCCTTTCATTTATTGCGGTTGTTGCTTTTTCCAATTCCTTTTATATTTGTGGCATTGCAAAGATTCAGCATAGTCCAATTCCATTGGTGTTGGATAGCTTCGCTATATTTGTTGTTGGTATGGTTTGTATAAAAAATTTTGTGTGTATCCTGGCCTTGCCATTCCAAACATGACATTATCAAATCTGGTGGCATATGCAATGGCTTTCGTCAAAGTTGCAGGAGCTTGATATGCAATCTCTATTTTTATTACAGGTTTGAGACCTTCGATATAGTAAGTTGCCTGATCCAATGGACCCATCCCCGTGATTTGTCCTACTATGTCCTGAAATTGTGCGATATATTTCAAGATGGATCCAGTTTGTTGCAAATTTCACAATTGTTATCACAAAATTTGTTGGTGGTTGGGTGATAAGAAGGCAACCTTGATGACAGTTTGAAATACATCCCGGTTGACATATGATACATTATTTGCATTAGCAACAACAGCATTTGTAAACCAATATAGAGTAGCTCCATGCAATGCAATAGATGCATAGAAAATTCATTGGGCTTCATTATTAATTCCTTGTGCCATGAAGAGAGCAGTAAGTTATAATAACCAAGCAACCACATTTTCCCCAGGCTTACTCCTATACTCAGGAATATGGATAGGAAGTTTGCTAGATCCAGTATTATTGTTATTTCCCATTGCAGTGGTCAATGCTCCCAAAGCATTAACAAAATTCTACAGAGTGACAGGTGGAGTTGTGGTAGAACCAGTACCAGTGTTTCCAGACATTTTGTAGACAAAGTGACAGAGTTTCTCTTAGGGGGGTGTATGTATCTTGGAAAGTATAAAAAAGGTGTATAATAATAGAATAACCACTACTACCAGATGTAAAAGTCAAGAATAAAATCCCTTTATTAAAGACTTTTAGGTGTAAACAGAATAATTTTATGGTTGTAAAATTATTAGTTACTTTATTTCAAGATCAAAAGGGCATCCTTAAATATATTTTCAATGTTACAACCTTTTCCAAATAAATAAATAAAATAAAAATACATAAAATATTATACATATATCTATATAAGGCTTAACCTTCTGGAAGACATATGCATAACTATATAGTAAATATAAACATAATAAAATAAATGGAAAAGAAATAGTAAATAAAACCCCTTATGTATCAAATTAGTATATCTATAATCCCTTGTCAATCACATATGATAATATTAAGATAAACATTATTAATAATACTATTTTTTCTTGCAAAACCCATATGGTTTGGTGATCAGTTAAGGATCTAAATTGTTACAAAAATTAAGTATCAAACTGATATTGAACAGGTATCAAAGTAATACCATTAGGAGCCCTAGTTCTAATAAATCTTTTTTTCTTTTTCTGTTGTTCATTTTTTTAACAGGTTTTTATCATCTTCCTCTTGTAGTTCCAGATATTCTTTTTTGTAACAAGTATTAAATTAGGTAAGTTAATTAGATTTTACTTACTTAGGCTACATTAATTATATATCTTAATTAAGAAGCAGCTTTTCTTATTATTATTCTTTTTCTACTATTATTCTATCTATTGTTCTTATTTCTTTTATTTTTTCTTTGCTTCTTTTTTCTTTGTTTTTATATTAGTATGATATGTTTCCACTAACTATTATCATATTATGCAGTTTCTATTAAGCAAAATAGACTATTTTTAATTAATAAGTCATCTAAGACTATGGCTAATTTAAGCTTTTA